TTTGCTTTTGGACGTTTACACGCTGTAAGCGTCATTTTATTTTTATCGATGATTATATGTGAAAGAAAGACAGATAGAATGAAGCTTACAGTGCCTGAGCACAACCTTAGCCTCGACCATAATGACATTTTCTTATTATTATACTTGTTTCATGTTTAACACGGGCGCATATACTTGCCACCTTATTAACATATCTCTTGATTTTACTGACAACTGCAAATTGGCTTTAATTTTTTACTTTTTTACTTTATTTTGAAAAGATAATTTTGTGCAGATAACACATCTTTTTTTAGTAATTTTTATTGTACGTGAGTAAATAATGTGTTTTAACGTATCAGGCCGTTTTGGGGTGTATTAAGGTGTTTGGAGTGGGTTGGGAGTGGGGGTGGGGGTAGGGTGGGAATAGAGATGGAGGTGATACATATGGGTGGATATGGGTGTAGTAGGTCATACAGGGACGAAATGGGGTGTATTGAGACTTTGTAGTAGATGGAAGGGAGGGTGGAAAGTGTTGGCACGAATAGCGTAGATGGATATGAGTATGGGTGTATAGGGTGCTTGGGAGTTGGTAGGCGTATACGAGTAGTGGAAGTCAATTTACTCCCGGACACCACGACACTCGGACACCGGAGCGACGTTTCTTAAATATATTTTATCTCATTTTTACATAAAACTTAAAATATCTTTTTTAATATTTAAACTTAGAAAAAAATAAAGACACTTTTATTATATAATATGACCCCAAGCCAATTGACCGAGCCTATTAAAAATTTCATCCACTTGGCCGTTTTTCATGTATGACCATCGTGCCTCCGCTCAACTCGATGGTTGGAGTAAAGAGACACGGCTTGGTCTCATGGCCCGTATACGGGCACGCATACTTGATGTGAGACCGTGTCTCTTGGTACGCGCGGAATCGGTTTTTACTCGTGTCCAACGAATGACGGGCGGGCGGGCGGGTACTTCGATACCCGGGTTTTCCGAGCACTAGTAATTAGTATAGTTCATTTTTTTTTATTTTTTTATTATTAACGTTCTCTTGTATATGTGCTCAGGAAAGATCAGATCAAAGTATAGTGTTTAATGACAATGTCGACAGCGGAACTACCTCTGCTGCTACTAATATGACGATAACTACATCCACCTCTTCCACTAACGATGTTAACAAGCATGAACGGCTGTATAAATTAAAACAAGACTATCATATTCTTAAACAGCAATTGACTACTCTTGAAGAGGAAGTTGAAGCAATAAAAAGTAGAATCAATGGAAATAATAAGACAACATCCGGATATCCTTCTTCGTTTGTTCTGCAAAGTATAAAGTATATTTTTTATTCATGTTTTCTATTGTAGTGAATACTGTAATATATATGTATATATATATTTTTCAGATTGTATAGTAAATGGTAACCTAAGAGCAGGATTGGGTAAGTTAATATTTTTTAAAACTAAATTAAGTTAAAGTTAATGATTTACAAAATTAATGTATAGTTAAATTATAAAAATTCCATGAATAAGAAACTAACTCAGTTAAAACTTGCGTTAAGATTAAATTAACTAA